TAAGTGTTTAGGATGGAGTGAAGATGTGTTAGAATCGGGGTAGAATTTCTGGCACTGGTGTGAATAATTGATAATGGCTGAGCTGATGGTGACGTGGGAAAATGATGATAATGATGCATGGAAGTTCGAAGATAAGGAGTAATATCGGATGATATATTGATGGAAGGTTGATGCTCCACTCCTATTGTTGTGGAGAAGGATAAGTGAAGGGGCGGTGAGGATTCAATCTCCCTTTCATCCTCTTGACTATCATTGCGAATAGTATGCATGAGTGTGCGATTATGGTGCATGAGTGTGCGATTATCAGGAGAAATTGACGAAGCAATAGTAGCATTGGTAGAGGATGGTGATGGGGGTGAGTCACTGATATTTGATGGTAACTGTTGACGCGAATATGGGGGTGGTGATTCAGAATCAGTGGATGAGTCATCATTAATTAATCCATTTATATGATTGTGTATCGGCTCCAAATCGGATTCTTGTATTACTTCCACCGTCACATTGACTTGACCATTCATATCACGTGATGGAGGTCCATTTATATCTTCATCAGTGGGAATTGGAAATGACTCTGTTTGAGGAAAGAAGCGAATATGTGCAGTTCCTGAGCGACTGATAATAGATTGTGCTCTTCCAGGTCCATGATTCTGGTCAAATCGCAAATGAGCATGGAGTAGGACATAATCCGCATAAAGGTTGTGGTTTTCATCGAAGCCATGGTGTCCTCTCATGACATAGTCTGAAGTTATTGAGAGTGAGCTCATGTTGTGACGATATTGAAGGTTGTTCAGTAGACCAAAAATAGCAGACCTTTCATCTTCCCTGATTGAGCGAATATGGTCAAAGAATGTTTCGAAGGTACTGGCATTGGGGATAGGGATGGAGGCTTCAATAGTTTCTTCTAGACGAGTCTCCAGGTCTTCCAGTGCTCTGAGAGTACTAGAATTTTCGATTGAACCAATTGGGGAATTATCTGGAACAGGCACAGTTTCTTCTTCTGGGGTGACACTTTCAGCAGCAGTTTCCGATTCATCGGTATTTCCATCTAGATCTTCTCCATTGAAGTCATAGTCCGTGACTAAGAAGCTGGATACTGTATCGGATACTCCAGATACTGGTTTGACATAGTGAATAGGACAATGATCTGATGATACCTTGACTTCCAGAGCAGGGTTTTCGATTTTGCCATCCTTTCTGAAGACGAGATAAGTGCCATTAAGTCTCTCTTCAATGCTGACATAGTTCCCATGCGTCCATGGTCGTCCAAGAAGTAGATCGTATCCAGTGTCTTTCCCAACAAAGATATTGGCATAAGTTTTGACTTCTCCGCAGTATAAAGCCACATTGTTGACTAGACCATCAAGTCTACCAAATCCTCCATTGGCATCTTTGACTACAGGTCGAATACTAGTATCCATGGGAAGGCGAATGAGATTTTCCCAAATAGTGCGACTGACTATATTGAGAGCAGACCCTGAATCAACAATTGCTGAAATAGTTTCGCCATTAGAGGTAACAGGGACACGAATGAGGTCGGCATGAGTGATGGCAAGAAGTGATTCAGCTGTCAAGCTTTGGGGCTTGTTGTCTAGTCCAAAATTAACGCGCTTGGGTTTCATCATTTCTTGGAGATTCTGGGAAACTTCTTTTGATAGACCAATGACGTTACCAATAGATAGTGGGATAGGGGTGCTGAGAATTTGATCAATGATGGCTTTGGAGTCAAGATTCTGTGAAAGAGTAGATGAAGTCTTGAGCTGTTTCTTCTGTTTATCGGCAGGGGGATTCTTCTTGGTGTTTTGGGAAGCATCTTCCATGATTACATCGTCATTAGTGGGATCAAAGATAGGCTGTGCAATATCAAAGATGTGTGGCTTTGATGGGGGAGGTGCTATGGTTGGAATGGCAGGCTTCTCTTCTTCTTTCTTCTTTCCT